CAGAGGCTGCTGCCTGTCATCAAGATATCTAGGACAGCTCTGTAAGTGATTTTACATCCGTCTGTTGCTAAAGAAGTACAGATGTTATTCATGATACTGCTTTTATATCTTATCAACACAACTATACACACAACAATTTATTTAGACCACCCAGAAAATCTATTTGATTCTGGATACTGCAGGATATGTATATTGTTTTAGCATTCTTGGTGTGGTGTGTGGTCCAGTGCGTTCGGACTGACACCTGTGGTCAGAAGGTCACCAGTTGAAATTTTCTGGTCAGCAGAGTGATGTTGGTTTTGGGCCCTTGAGGAAGGCCCTTACCCCCCAGCTTCAGGAGTGCTGGATGCTGGCCAAACGTGCACTCTGACCTCTCACCTGTATGCGTGTGTCAGAGAGACGAAGATCAGAGAGGTGACAGCACTATTTTAGCAGGAGTATCACTATTTTATCCCTACTGTATATGACAGGATTGATAATTGTCTGATTAGTGTATTGGAAATTTAACAGGTTCTCAGGTAGAGCAAACAGAAAATAAGGATTTTAGTCATGGTGTCAGAAATTCAGGAAAAAACTTAAGCTCTTGACATTCAAATCCCACATAATCACACACACACACATATCCCAGACAGGAACTGAACCCAAAACCCTAGAACCCCTGGGTCGGCTGTAGTGCTGATCACTGAGCCCCAGCGCTGCTCAGAGCTTTATAAAAATACTTATGCATATATTACAGAGTCTCCGGGTAACTCACCCTGTAAGGTCATTAAAAAGCAGTTTTCAGCTCAGAGTCTCAAATAAAAACTATTTGTGTTTCTGACTCAGACAGGAAAACAACAAAATAACTGATATACTTAAATATTCCAGTTAATAAATGGATTTTAGAGCATGTTCATTCTCATAGCCTTATTCAAACTGGCTCTGTACTATAATACAGAACAGGTTTGGGAATGTATGACTTATGAAAATGTACAGCAAATAGCCAAATACACAGTAAACTCACAGTAGAAGCTGTATTGTACCTAAATCTATTCATCTGTGTACATTGATCCAGTCCTGACCCATTACACTTTTCATGGTATTTGTGCTTTGAATTGAAAGTATTCACTGTATTCTTCATGACAGGGAACATGAGGAACATCAGAGGATTGTCTAGTTCTTTTTGAAGTAAATGCAGCATCAATTATTGTATTTTAATATAAAATAAAAATGTTTATTTTGATCATTTATTTGATATACTTGTTTGTATGGTACATGTATTTTTTAGCTTAACATACTTCCTTTTCCGCTGAAAATTACCCATAGGTGTGCATGTGTGAGTGAATGGTGTGTGAGTGTGCCCTGCGATTGGCTGGCCCCCCATCCTGGGTTGTTCCCTGCCTCGTGCCCATAGCTTCCGGTATAGGCTCTGCGACCCAGTACTATAAGCAGTTTGGAAAATGGATGGATGTTTCCTTTTCCAGGTTGAACAGCTGCAGACTCACAGATACATGCTGTGAAGTGTTGGCTTCAGCTCTCAGATCAAACTCCTCTCAGCTGACAGACCTGGACCTGAGTGACAATAAGCTGCAGGATTCTGGAGTGAAGCTGCTCTCTGCTGGACTGGGGGATTCACACTGTAAACTGGAGACACTAAGGTCAGTATTACTCAGTATTCCACATTGTAATCTGTAATTATTGAAATCTTTATTGTACTCTTTTTTACTAAATAGCAATGCTTCTAGTGCTGAGGTGTTTTTATTTATTTGAGAGTTTTTGTCTGCCTCTCTACAGGCTGTCATTCTGTAGAGTGACACAAGAAGGCTGTTCTTCCCTGGCTTCAGCTCTGAGGACAAACTCCTCACACCTGAGAGAGCTGGACCTGAGCTACAATGACCTGCAAGATTCAGGGGTGAAGCTGCTCTCTGCTGGACTGGGGGATTCACACTGTAAACTGGAGACACTAAGGTCAGTATTACTCAGTATTCCACATTGTAATCTGTAATTATTGAAATCTTTATTGTACTAATTTTTACTAAATACAGTAGCAATGCTCCTAGTGCTGAGGTGTTTTTATTTATTTGAGAGTTTTTGTCTGCCTCTCTGCAGGCTGTCATTCTGTAGAGTGACAGAAAGCGGCTGTTTTTCCCTGGCTTCAGCTCTGAGGTCAAACCCCTCACACCTGAGAGAGCTGGACCTGAGCTACAATCACCCAGGAGACTCAGGAGTAAAGCTGCTCTCTGCTTTACTGGAGGATCCCCGCTGTAAACTGGAGAAACTGAAGTGAGTATAGAATGTGTGTCTATCCTGGTTAGACTCTTGTATGTGGAGAAAATGCAACAATTCTGTCATTTTGCTTCTGCTATAGTGTGGACCACAGTGGGAAGTGCAGGACCAGACCAGGGATCCAGAAATGTAAGTCGGTTTGTATGTTTTTATTCTTACTACCATAATTACTGCTTCATGATACCATACACAATTATTATGATATCCTTAATTAAAAAAGACTGGTTTGGGTTTAAAGATGATTCTATTTTCTTAAATAGAAATGGTAGTCTTGGAAATTCTGTATGAATACATTAAATCTTTTCTGAGATTTGTTAGTATTGTCCTAAGTCAGCACCTGTAATCTCCCCAAACTGGCTGTGACATTGAACATCTCCTCAGTTTGCGCTAATGATGGGAATTTCGGCTCTTTTTAATGAGCCAGATCATTTGCCTCAGCTCACCATGAAGAGTCGGCTCTTCCGACTCCCAGTCGGCTCTTTATTTTATCACTTCAGTCCAGCCAGATTTAGAGCTGTTTTGACTCATGACTGATATGTGTACTAAACCTTATAATTTCCTTAATACCATAATTTTACATTATGTTTGGTACAAAGAGTAAATGTAAAAACATCAAACACTACTACACCTGTATTGAACATTTTATAAGTGGAAAATTTATTTTTGTGTTTGATCTAACAAAAACAGTCAAATAACATAAATAACAAATAAAAAACAAAAATACATAAATGACAATGTGCAAAACAGCAGCATCCAACAGTTTTAGTTGTATCTGTCCATTATAACAACCATCAACTTTCTAACAGTGTTACATTTTAACATTTCCTTTGGGGCAGAAAGGCTAAGTGCCTCAGCTTAGACGGGCTGATCCGGCTTCTGGCAGTAGCAGCACGCTAGCCTGTCTTTTTTCTTCCATCTGAACTGTTGGATGCGCAGTTCTTAAGTGCCTGAGAAGGTTGTTTGTTGAAATGACAGCTTCATCTTGCAAACTGTGCATTCTGCCTTTGTGTTATCATAGCTATTAAATCTTATCTACTATTCGCACACCACAGTCCCTTTTTGTCTCCTCCTCTCCCTCCCTCCTGCTCTGTACCTGTACACCATCAGCATGTGCACACCTGCCCCTCCCTACATTTAACATTTACATTTGGTATGACCCTTGTCTGACTCATCATGTGATTGGTCGCGCAGCTCGAACACCATTAACACAGACTTCAGTCACAGTCAGAGTAGCATGGAGTGCTGTGCTGCAGGGATGTTTTGCCTTATAAAAATGTTTCTCGGTCAGAATTTTTAATGGCTCGTTTGCAACCGACACATCATTAGTCGACGCTGAACGTTGCTGGAGGGAAGTATGTGTCCCAAATGATTTGAAGGAAGTTCTTATTACAGTATGTCTTGGGTATGACGTTAAACTGCATCTGGCCCTGCAAGTGGTCCTCCAACTTGCAGGGAAACAATTTTTTTTGGGGTTGGTGGCGGGATTGGCGCTCCAGCCACCACAAAACAACTCACAACAGCTTGACACAAACGAGCTAGATACTCTTCTGCTCTCCGCAGGAGTACCTCTGCTGCAGCCGCCCGCAGGAAGGCTGCACCCACCACGAAGGGGATGGGGGAAAGCCTTCGGGAGCCTCATCCCCGGATGAGTCAAAACCGTCGGAGAACTAATAGGGTCAGGCCTGTTGGGGATCGGGGCTGGTGTGGTGCTGCTGCATGGTGGCACTTGGGTGCCAATTTGAAGCGACCCATCCGAGTAGGCGCGTGGAACATCTTGTCTCTCTGGCAAGATGACCATCTTCCTCTGCAGTCGGGTGAGCTTCATAAACATTTCGGTGGCAGCACTCTCTGAGGTACGCAGACCGGGGTGTGGTCAGATCTCTGTAGGTGGGTATAGCTACTTTTGGTCTGGTCAGTCTGGTGGCTACCATACTCAGGGACTAGCTGTTGCCAAAGTGGATCGTCTCCTTCTGATGGTGTCTGATGTCACTCCTTTCAATGAGCGTACTACTGTATGAGGCTCAGGCTAAGGCACTCCTTGGGTGTCTTGTCTGTTGTTTCAGTGTATGCTCCGACCGTGGTGAGTGATGTGTTGTTGAGGGAGACATTTTAATCACAACTTCACTCGCTGGTTGACAGTTGCCCACGAGGTGACACTCCTCTGGTCATGGATGAATTCAATGCAACCACTGGCACTGACCAGGCTGGCTATGAGGATTGTGTCGTTCCCCATGGGTCTGGAGACTATGGTGAAAGTGGCGCCATGTTTCTTGACTTTGCTGGTTCTGGTCCCAACTCCCTGAGCCACATCATTGGACTTGGTACTCCAATACTGGTGGTGCGGCAAAGGAGATCAATCACATCCTCGTGGGCAGGCGCTGGAGGCTCCTGAAACACTGCAGGGTCTACAGAAGTGCCCAGTTTGTGAATTCTGACCACAGACTTGTTGTTGCTACTCTGAAGATTCAGCTTAGGTCAGTAGGCTACCACCTACTAGGAGAACGAGGCTGGACTCCAAGATCAAGCTGTTTCTGATGAGTTTGCACGCAATTTGTGTGAAGAACTTTCAGACTTGGGTGCCACTGCTGACTCTAATTTGATGTGGGAGACTTTCTGTGATAAGACCCTGAAGGTTGTCGAGGGTTGTGTTGGTGTTGCCAGTGTTCCCAGAAGGAGGTGTTTCATCTTGTAGGGCATCCTGGATATCAAGAGGAGTTGCAGCGCATGACTTGTTGACAAATCCAGTCTGTACCAGGAACTGAGAAGGACAGCTGTGAGGGCTCTGATAAGGAGGCATTTGTTAGACAAATCTGTGAGCAAGTGGCACACCATCTGTGGTCCAGTAACCCACATCCTGCTTACAGAGGAATCGAAGCATTACGCATATCTGAATCTGTTCCTCAGAGGCTTACAGTCAGAGTGATGGAACGGTCCTTACGGATGATACTGCAGTTGTGACCCGCTGGGCCGGCTACATTGAGCAGTGGTTTAAAGCTGACCCTCCAGCTAGGATGTTGGACATCTCTGGGTCCACGGTTCTTGAGGCTGACCATCCGATCAGCTGTGAACCACCCAATCTCACGGAGATTGCACGGGGGGTGGATCAGCTGGGGGTAGGGAAGGTCGAAGGGATCTGTGGTATCTGGGGTGAACTTCTACAGGCTGGCGGTAAGGCTGTTCTCCTGGCATTGCAGGCAATCTTTGCTTCCATTTGGGAGTCAGGCATCATCCCAACTGACTGCAAAACGGGACTTTTGGTCCCTATCTGGAAAGAGTGATCACCTGGATTGTGGCAATTACAGGGGGATAACACTGCTTTCAGTGCCAGGTAAGGTTCTTGCTAGGGTCACCCTTAACAGGATCCGTGATCACTTGCTTGCCTGTCAGCAAGCAGAGCAGTCTGGTTTTACACCTATGAAGTCTACCATCAACTATATCCTTGCACTGAGGGTTCTCATCAAGTGCAAGCGCGAATATTGGCAGAGGTTCCTTGCAGCCTTTGTCGATTTTGTGAAATCGTTTGATTCAGTTGATCGAGTTGCCCTGTGGGACATCCTGAGACTTCGCGGGATCCCCCCAAGGTTGCTGGACATCATGGCCAGCCTATACACTGGTACTGTGAGTGCTGTGCAGAGTGGAGGGATAACCTCTGCGTTCTTCCTAGTAGATTCTGGGGTTCACCAGGGATGTGTTCTTGCTCCTACTCTGTTCAATGCTTGTATGGACTGGGTCTTGGGCAGGGTTGTTGGGTCCAGCAGCTGTGGGGCATCAGAAAGGTTTACTGATCTTGACTTTGCCAACGATGCTGTGATCTTAGCGGAGTCAATGGAGGTTCTGATCAAGGCTCTCGAGAGACTGACCGAGGAGCCTGAGTGTCTGGGATTGCGGGTGTCCTGGTAAAAGATCAAGATCCAGGCATTTAATGACTTCTTGGGCACAGCCATCAGTAGTGTGTCTGTCTGCAGGGAGAATATCACCTTGTCGAGAGATGTACTGTACCTATCTTGGCAGCGACATTCATGTCTCTGGTGACTCTTCCTATGAAGTCAGCAGACGGATTGGAAGAGCATGGGGGGTCATGAGGTCGCTGGAG